CGGTGCTCGCGCTGTCGCTCAAAACCGCATGCGGCGCCTCGTCCTCAAGCAGGGCGGCTCCACTTGCTGTGAAGCCGTGGCGGTCACGCGCAGCAAGGTCACGGTAACGCTTCTCAGCCATGACAATAGGCTCGCCTTCCCTCTCACTGTGAAGGGCGGCCTCCAACGGCTGCGCCTCGTCGTGATCCAGACCCAGGCGGTGCTCGCGCTGTCGCTCAACAACCGCATGCGGCGCCTCGTCCTCAAGCAGGGCGGCCTCCAACGGCTGCGCCTCGTCGTGATCCAGACCCAGGCGGTGCTCGCGCTGTCGCTCAACAACCGCATGCGGCGCCTCGTCCTCAAGCAGGGCGGCCTCCAACGGCTGCGCCTCGTCGTGATCCAGACCCAGGCGGTGCTCGCGCTGTCGCTCAACAACCGCATGCGGCGCCTCGTCCTCAAGCAGGGCGGCCTCCAACGGCTGCGCCTCGTCGTGATCCAGACCCAGGCGGTGCTCGCGCTGTCGCTCAACAACCGCATGCGGCGCCTCGTCCTCAAGCAGGGCGGCTTCACGTGCTGTGAAGCCGTGGCGGTCACGCGCAGCAAGGTCACGGTAACGCTTCTCAGCCATGACAATAGGCTCGCCTTCCCTCTCACTGTGAAGGGCGGCCTCCAACGGCTGCGCCTCGTCGTGATCCAGACCCAGGCGGTGCTCGCGCTGTCGCTCAACAACCGCATGCGGCGCCTCGTCCTCAAGCAGGGCGGCCTCCAACGGCTGCGCCTCGTCGTGCTCCAGACCCAGGCGGTGCTCGCGCTGTCGCTCAACAACCGCATGCGGCGCCTCGTCCTCAAGCAGGGCGGCCTCCAACGGCTGCGCCTCGTCGTGCTCCAGACCCAGACGGTGCTCGCGCTGTCGCTCAACAACCGCATGCGGCGCCTCGTCCTCAAGCAGGGCGGCCTCCAACGGCTGCGCCTCGTCGTGCTCCAGACCCAGGCGGTGCTCGCGCTGTCGCTCAACAACCGCATGCGGCGCCTCGTCCTCAAGCAGGGCGGCCTCCAACGGCTGCGCCTCGTCGTGCTCCAGACCCAGACGGCGCTCGCGCTGTCGCTCAACAACCGCATGCGGCGCCTCGTCCTCAAGCAGGGCGGCCTCCAACGGCTGCGCCTCGTCGTGATCCAGACCCAGGCGGTGCTCGCGCTGTCGCTCAACAACCGCATGCGGCGCCTCGTCCTCAAGCAGGGCGGCCTCCAACGGCTGCGCCTCGTCGTGATCCAGACCCAGGCGGTGCTCGCGCTGTCGCTCAACAACCGCATGCGGCGCCTCGTCCTCAAGCAGGGCGGCTTCACGTGCTGTGAAGCCGTGGCGGTCACGCGCAGCAAGGTCACGGTCACGCTTCTCAGCCATGACAATAGGCTCGCCTTCCCTCTCACTGTGAAGGGCGGCCTCCAACGGCTGCGCCTCGTCGTGATCCAGACCCAGGCGGTGCTCGCGCTGTCGCTCAACAACCGCATGCGGCGCCTCGTCCTCAAGCAGGGCGGCCTCCAACGGCTGCGCCTCGTCGTGATCCAGACCCAGGCGGTGCTCGCGCTGTCGCTCAACAACCGCATGAGGCGCCTCGTCCTCAAGCAGGGCGGCCTCCAACGGCTGCGCCTCGTCGTGCTCCAGACCCAGGCGGTGCTCGCGCTGTCGCTCAACAACCGCATGCGGCGCCTCGTCCTCAAGCAGGGCGGCCTCCAACGGCTGCGCCTCGTCGTGATCCAGACCCAGGCGGTGCTCGCGCTGTCGCTCAACAACCGCATGCGGCGCCTCGTCCTCAAGCAGGGCGGCTTCACGTGCTGTGAAGCCGTGGCGGTCACGCGCAGCAAGGTCACGGTAACGCTTCTCAGCCATGACAATAGGCTCGCCTTCCCTCTCACTGTGAAGGGCGGCCTCCAACGGCTGCGCCTCGTCGTGCTCCAGACCCAGACGGTGCTCGCGCTGTCGCTCAACAACCGCATGCGGCGCCTCGTCCTCAAGCAGGGCGGCCTCCAACGGCTGCGCCTCGTCGTGATCCAGACCCAGGCGGTGCTCGCGCTGTCGCTCAACAACCGCATGCGGCGCCTCGTCCTCAAGCAGGGCGGCCTCCAACGGCTGCGCCTCGTCGTGATCCAGACCCAGGCGGTGCTCGCGCTGTCGCTCAACAACCGCATGCGGCGCCTCGTCCTCAAGCAGGGCGGCCTCCAACGGCTGCGCCTCGTCGTGCTCCAGACCCAGACGGCGCTCGCGCTGTCGCTCAACAACCGCATGCGGCGCCTCGTCCTCAAGCAGGGCGGCCTCCAACGGCTGCGCCTCGTCGTGATCCAGACCCAGGCGGTGCTCGCGCTGTCGCTCAACAACCGCATGCGGCGCCTCGTCCTCAAGCAGGGCGGCCTCCAACGGCTGCGCCTCGTCGTGATCCAGACCCAGGCGGTGCTCGCGCTGTCGCTCAACAACCGCATGCGGCGCCTCGTCCTCAAGCAGGGCGGCCTCCAACGGCTGCGCCTCGTCGTGATCCAGACCCAGGCGGTGCTCGCGCTGTCGCTCAACAACCGCATGCGGCGCCTCGTCCTCAAGCAGGGCGGCTTCACGTGCTGTGAAGCCGTGGCGGTCACGCGCAGCAAGGTCACGGTAACGCTTCTCAGCCATGACAATAGGCTCGCCTTCCCTCTCACTGTGAAGGGCGGCCTCCAACGGCTGCGCCTCGTCGTGATCCAGACCCAGGCGGTGCTCGCGCTGTCGCTCAACAACCGCATGCGGCGCCTCGTCCTCAAGCAGGGCGGCCTCCAACGGCTGCGCCTCGTCGTGCTCCAGACCCAGGCGGTGCTCGCGCTGTCGCTCAACAACCGCATGCGGCGCCTCGTCCTCAAGCAGGGCGGCCTCCAACGGCTGCGCCTCGTCGTGATCCAGACCCAGGCGGTGCTCGCGCTGTCGCTCAACAACCGCATGAGGCGCCTCGTCCTCAAGCAGGGCGGCCTCCAACGGCTGCGCCTCGTCGTGCTCCAGACCCAGGCGGTGCTCGCGCTGTCGCTCAACAACCGCATGCGGCGCCTCGTCCTCAAGCAGGGCGGCCTCCAACGGCTGCGCCTCGTCGTGATCCAGACCCAGGCGGTGCTCGCGCTGTCGCTCAACAACCGCATGCGGCGCCTCGTCCTCAAGCAGGGCGGCTTCACGTGCTGTGAAGCCGTGGCGGTCACGCGCAGCAAGGTCACGGTAACGCTTCTCAGCCATGACAATAGGCTCGCCTTCCCTCTCACTGTGAAGGGCGGCCTCCAACGGCTGCGCCTCGTCGTGCTCCAGACCCAGGCGGTGCTCGCGCTGTCGCTCAACAACCGCATGCGGCGCCTCGTCCTCAAGCAGGGCGGCCTCCAACGGCTGCGCCTCGTCGTGATCCAGACCCAGGCGGTGCTCGCGCTGTCGCTCAACAACCGCATGCGGCGCCTCGTCCTCAAGCAGGGCGGCCTCCAACGGCTGCGCCTCGTCGTGATCCAGACCCAGGCGGTGCTCGCGCTGTCGCTCAACAACCGCATGCGGCGCCTCGTCCTCAAGCAGGGCGGCCTCCAACGGCTGCGCCTCGTCGTGATCCAGACCCAGGCGGTGCTCGCGCTGCCTTTGAATAATCGCATGCGGTGTCTCATCTTCGAGAAGTGCGGTTTCGTGTGGTTGTGGTTGTATTGTTTTACGTATGCCAAGTGATTTTTCATGGTTTCTAATTTTTTTTTGTGTTTCGCATCGGTAGTTGTTTGTAATTGGTTTGTATTTGAATTGTATCGCTTTTTGCGCGGTTCGTATTTCCTGCTCCATATTCCTTGCACAAAGTGGCATTTTATGCTCTTCTTGTAAATGGTGGGATGCTTGTTCTTTTCTTTGTTGTGTTTGATATTGTGTAAGTTCGTATGTTTTTGTTTTGTTGTAATGTATGGGTTGTGATAGGGTTTCATTTTCGATAGATGCCTCTATTGGCGTTGTACGGATATATGGCTCTGTTTCTAAAATGTTTTCCTCTCCGTTGTAAATGCTAACGGATGGATTTGTGTCTTCCTCATACCAATATTCCCTTTCAGGCGTATTTTCTTTGGCGTATGTATAATGATGAGGCATTACAACCGCACCCATCGGTGACTCCAAGGATTGCGAAGAAGAAGGCCTGCTGGAAATCTCATATTCAGCCTCGTAGTATTTTGTTGACAGTAATGACTGTCTGTGGGTAGCTGGAGGTATGACGGAATCTTCCAGTGTTTTCTCCTCACTACTACTACTACTACTGCTATCAAGAGAACTTTGCTCCAACGTACTTTCGTGGTATTTTGATTTGCCAACATGACGACGTTTCACGGATGTTCGCATCGAAACTCGTTCTTCTAGTGGCTCCAATTCGTCCTCGTTCTCATCCTCGGAGTCGGCGGTGATTATCTTCTCAGGTGCGGTCGCACTCCTTTTTTCCCCACGGGAGCGGTGTCGGGAGTAAACAAAGCGTGCACCGAGTTGTTCATCAGTTTCCGAGGCCGAACTGGAGCGCTGGTCCCTCACTTCCTCTGCAAACGCCACACTTCTTTGTGGGGTGTGCACCACGCCGTGCTTACGATACCGCAGGATGGAGGACGGTATGAACGCCCCCGCAGACTCGCTGTCGTTGGAAGAATTCAACCGCTCTTCAAACACCGCTCTGCTTTCCTTTTTCTTCTGCCTAAGTGTATTGCCCCACCTTGAGGTGCCGTAAACGATATTTGCTAGTAAAGGGGCGACCATGTCGTCTTCCTCGTACTCTTCATCATTGCTACTACTCTCCGTTGCCTCAAAGACTTCTGTAGGAATAAAACCCGTCTCGCGTGTGACATTTTGGGAAATTATCTCTACAGGGAGGGGCAATTGGTTCGGGTCGTCCGTGAGCGAGCTGGATGCAGCACTACTTGCACTATGGCGCTGTGAAACACGCCCCAAAGTGGACTCGCGATCCGGCACACCAAACGCCGCTCTCCCTCCTCTGTAACGCATTGGACTATCGAGGATGCCCCGGTGTTTCTCGTCATTGCTGGGCAGTTTCTCCCTTTTTCGCCAAAAATCATGCGCATGCAACTCGACCCCCGTTTTCCACGGCCAGAAGTCTTCGCCCACGTACTCCGCTTCCCGGTCATCTTCGTCATCCGTGTGCTTACTGGGTGAAACTAATTTTGCTAACGCCTCATTGGGCCCTTCATGCTCCCTCCGTCCGCTCTTCCATGTTGGCTGACTGGACCTATCCGTATTTCCGATATCACACCTGTCTGTCTCCGCAGGTGTCATTGGATTACGAGGAATCTCGTCCTCAGTGCCTGCATGCACTGCTACAAGGGGAGAGGAAATTGGCGATTCCAGCATCTTCTCTTGCTCCCTGTGGGGCATAAACGACCTGTACTTACGCTGCAGCTTCTCTATTAAAACATCTACATCATCCTCGGGGTTAATTTCCTCGTCGCCAATGCTATCTAGCTTGGGCTGCCTCTCCACAGGGGAGCCCTCCTTTATGAAGAAGGTGGATGTTGTGGGATCCAGGTGCTGACGGGGGCTTTGTACCGCGTCGCCCTTCTCTTCTTCTTCATCTGAATCCTCCGTGCCTTCCTCGAACGGCGGTGTGGCATCAGGAGGTGGAAAAAGGTTCATGTCATTATCGCCCAGGCCTTCTCGTACACGGCGTTCTTTTTCTCGTTCCTCCTCTTCTTCACGCACCTCCTGAAGCTCAATCTCTCGTATTTCATCCTCTAGTAATATATCCTCCTCGTTCACCATTGCATCATACAAAGAATGCAGTTGTGTACCAAAATCACCCTCTATCCTCCTACGGGAGGTGCGCTCTTGGGTAAGGAGCGCGTTCTGTACATTGTGACTCATGGACGTACTGTGGGTTTCATGCTCAATCGCCATATTTGGTTTTTGTCTCTGTTTTCCGGTGTATGCCGATGACAACGTGTCGCCGGCTGTCGTCCTGCCGGGAAAGTTTTCATTCCTGCGCGATGAGGTCCCCATGGGCACCGAGTATGATGAAGACACCTGTGTCTGCGAAGGAGCGGATAGAAGCTTCGGCTGATCATTCCACCGATCTAAATCTCCGCCGATTTGTGGACGCAACGTTGGCCCATTCGGCGCCTCTACGTATGGCGATTGCGTGCCACCACGCCACCCCCTCGTGGGAGTGAGGTTTACCACCAATTCCTCCTGGTTCGCCTCCATGCATTCAGAGGAGGTGGAGGATTTCCGAACAAAAGGCATGGCCTTCACGGTGTCATCCGGCTGATTGCTCAAGAGCCGCGGCACGAGGGCGTCATTTTCGGCATCACTCTGTCGTATCAAAGTCTCTCTGCCCGACGCCCACGACGTCACATGACTGTTGGGGCCACTCATCCCCCCTCACGCCGCTGTTCCCCTCAGTAAAACAAATTTATTGTTGTCCCACACCCCAGTCAGTTTGCGGGTGTTCGACAGGCGGCAGTGATGTCAACAGCCACACACACACAAAAAAAAACAATGGCAAAACAGAAATCAAAAGCTCGCCACTACACACCCACAAAAACTCGGAGTGAGTTGGCGAGTAAAAACAAAACAAAAAAACAGACAAAAAAAAAAAACAAAGACAAAAGACAAAATGGACTTTACGAGGAAGCAAGAATTCCGGCAAATTCCTTTCAGGTGTGAGTGAGTGAGTGCGTGCGTGTGACTCCCTCCTCCCCTCCTTTTCTTTTTTTAAAATTTTTATTATCTGTTCTGTGTGGCGTTACCCTTTCCCCCTCAACCTTTTCCTTCCTTCCTATATATAACTGTGGGGTGGGGGGTTGGGCCTTTGTTGCTTTTCCCTTCTCTCTGTGTTTGTCTGTAATATCGTATGTATATATATATATATATATATATATACAGGTAAAGATGGCCAATAAACTCTAGAGAACTTCCCTCTTATTTGCCTTCTGTTCCGCCCTCCTTCACTTGTATTGCGCTGTCAATAATAAATAAATAATTATTATTAATAAAAAACTATGATGGCACGTACACCCAACGGCTCTTCCGTGTGTACACCTCTCTCTCTCTCTCTCTATGTCTCTGTCCTTCCCTGTCACTCTCTCTCTTCCGCCGCTGGTCGCCCAATGGGTTGTTTCCTCCCCCCTCTTCGCCTCGGAAGGCACGACACGGTGGGAGGGAAAACCGAAGCTCACGAACCAACAAAACAAACAATTAACAAAACAAAACACACCCCCTACCCACCCACACAAAGTGAGTCACGTATTAAATGGACTGGGTGGTGGTGGCCAAATGCTCGGGATGTCTGCAGGAAAGAAAACGGAAACGGAAACGGGGTGGGGGGTGGGGGATGGGGAGAGTTATAAAAGTCAAAGAACGAATGGATTGCACCAACGAACAAATATATATAAAAAAAATATAATTAGATTTTTTATATTTTATGTAGACACCTATTCACACAAGCACACACACACACACACAATAAGAAAAAGAAAAAGAAAAGAAGAAAGAGACAATAAGGACACACGTACGTAAGAAAAAAAAAAAAAAAGAAGAATGTTATGCCTTTTACCACCACTGCCACGGCCTGATAATAAAATAAATAAATTGCCGTCCCACCCCCTGCCACAGGACGCGGAAGTAGCCACACGAAGAAAAGGGAGAGAGACGGATGACACACGTCCCTTGCCTTGGCTCCTTATAAATAATATATAAATATATAAATATGTGCTTTCTCCTTTCCGCCTATTTTTTCCCTTTTTTTCTTTCAAATTTATTCTTCTTCTTCTTCCTGCTGCTGCTGCTGCTGCTGCTGTTTTTTGTTTTTTTTAATTGTTTCCTTCCTTTGGTAAATGAAAAGAAAAAAAAGTAGCGCTGCTTCCTTCCGCGCACAGAGAGAGAGAGAGAAAAGGAGAGAAAAGGTTCATAACCCACAAAAATTTCGTTAGGGCTTTACTGCAGCATAAAACGACGACCACCGGCCATTTGCCATTTGTTGTTTTCTTCGTAACTCCTCACTTCTTCCTACAAAAATGTTTTCTTCTGTTCGTTTCTTTTTTTTTTTTCTGTTTTGTTTCTTCCCCTCTCCTTGACGCGTCTGTTGTGGTGCTCTTCTCACCGGCTGTTGCACAACCATCGCACAGGAGGGACATCACGACGCCGGTGGCTGCACCACCGCTGCGCCGCAGAAGAAAATTGCGTCATTCGTTTCCGGGGAAACTCGCTGGACGCAAAATAATTCCCGCTGCGATGTGCAGATTTGAAGTACGGCTGCCCCCGCACCACCGCTGCCATGCCCACTGGACAAGTTTGCGCCGCTGCCGGAGGAGAGTGATGCCCGCACATGTGCCTCCTCCATGCCATTAGCCGCCCTATTCGTGTTGCCGCAGAGAACCGCAACAGACTCCGTGTCGTTGTCATCCGCGTTGCTTGTGCCATTGCCGGGCCCCTCCTCCCGCTCGTCGCCGCGTGCCTCCTCGTTCCTGTCCGGGACGTTGACGTCCATATGGGCCCTGACACCTGCTAAAGATCCCGCCGTCGCCCCCATGCGTGAGCGGACGGGGCGCAGAAAGGCAGGAAATGGCACACGCTGCACCGCCGCCCCGCGACTGATGCCACCGTCCCGCACGGGCTGCGAAGAATGTTGCAGGCGGTGAAAAAGACGGTAGAGAGCGACGAGTTGTTGTCCCTCCGCTGCACTTAACTGCGTCTCCTCCTCGCCCTTCACCAACAGCCCGTCCAGCGAAAATAACATGATCCCCCGGCACCTCTTCTCCTGGCAGGATCCCTACAACCACGCAATTCCCTCTTTTCTCCCACACACGCTCGTCAGGACCCGCATTAAAAGAAAAAAAAAATGAGAGAGAGAGAGAGAGAGAGAGGTTCTTCTAGAACGCTTGCGCCGTGGACTTCTCCAGGCAACATGTCATGCAACAAGTCAAGTTCAAAGAATAACAAAAAAAAAAAAAAAAAAAAAAAAAAGAGGGATTTATATACGGAAAAGGATATAAAGCCCCACAGCATAGCAGATAAAATGAGGGCAGGCCAGCCTCATTGTTACTAGTCGCATTATTTTCTTAGCAGTAAACGTTCAACGTCGTGGAAGGTGTTGGTGTAAATAAATTAAAGGGGGAGGGCGGGCGTCACCCCATGACGTCAAATTTCTCTTTGAGTGTCCCCCCCAATACTCTTCATTATCCTATTCATTTTTCGCATCCACCACCCGCCCCTCCTTTCCCTACACATACACACAGACACATGCCCTGTCTCCAACGCCCCCTTCCCCAGTTACACCTTGACAGGAACACACCCACGCGCATCAGGAAAAAACAACAGCAAAAAAAATCAAAACAATCTTTTGGGCCGCTGGCCGAATCCTGCAGTTTCTCAACAACAGAAAACAAACGAGAGAGGAATAAGAAAGGGATGGACGGAATAGGAGTGGGGATTCACCATACCCTCAAAGTTTGCCACCAAGTAAGTACATACATACATACATGTATCCTCCGTTGGCCTCAATTGTGGCCCGCTCACTCTATTCGGATGGGTGCATATAAATATAGTTAGATATGGCGTTCATTCCTTACGAAGTGGCAGACTTTTGGGGTCCACCACCAGCCACAACACCCCACCGGGTGGTGGTGGGAATCACAAAAGAAGGGGAGGATGGGTGAAGGTAAAACAAATAAAATAATTATATTGCCGCTATCGGTGTTCCCCTGGTCCCCCACCCCTCCTTTTAATAGTCGTGCTCTTTTCAAAAAAAAAAAAAAAGGAAAAAAAAAAAAAGAAAAAAAAAAAAAAGAAAAAAAGAAATCTGTTAATTCAACGAATGTAATCCTTTTCTTCATTCCGT